ATAGTAAGTCATAGAAGCGTCAGTATAGTAAGGCATAAAAAATCATATTATAGTAAAGCATAAAAAGTCATATTATTGTAAAAAACACCATAGTATAGGAAGGAATAAAAAACATAGTACAGTAGGTCATAAAAAGTCATAGTATAATAAGGCATAAAAAGTGATCATATAGTAAGACAAAAACAAAGTCACAGTATGATAAGTCATTAAAAAGTTGTAATACAATGATGCATAACGACATAGTAAGTCAAAAAGTCGTAGTATAGTAAGTCATAAAAAGTCATATTATAGTAAGGCATAAAAAGTCATGGTATAGTAAGTCATAAAAACAACGTAGTATAGTAAGTCATATAAATGACATAGCATAGTAAGGCATAAAAAAGTCAAAGTATAGTAAAGCACAAAAAGTGATAGTATAGTAAGGCATAAAAAACACCATAGTATAGTAAGGCATAAAACATTAATGTATAGTAAGCCATAAAAAGTCATAGTATAGTAAAGCATTAAAATGACACGGTATAATAAGGCATTAAAAAGTTATAGTACAGTGAGGCATACAAAAGACATAGTATAGTAAGTCAAAAAGTCATAGTACAGTAAGTCATAAAAAGTCAGTACAGCATGGCATAAAAAGTTATCGTAAAGCATAAAATGTCATAGTATAGTAAGGCATAAAAAGTCATAGTATAGTAAGTCATAAAAATGTCATAGTATAGTAAGACATAGAAACGACACAGTATAGTTAGTCATAAAAACACTAGTATATTAGTAAGGTATAAAAAGTCATATTATAGTAAGGCATAAACACCATAGTATAGTAAGTTGTCAAAACACCATAGTAAAATAGTAAGGCATAAAAAACACCATAGGTATAGTAAGGCAAAAAAAAGTCACATTATAATAAGGCATTATAAAGTTATAATACAGTGAGGCATACAAAATACATTGTATAGTAAGTCAAAAAGTCATGGTATAGTAAGGCATTTTAAACGACATAGTATAGTAATGCATAAAAACATCATAGTAGAGTAAGTCATAAAAAGTCACAGTATAGTAAAGGACAAAAAGTCATAGTATAGTAAGGCATCAAAACAACATAGTATAGTAATGCATAAAAACATCATAGTAGAGTAAGTCATAAAAAGTCACAGTATAGTAAAGGACAAAAAGTCATAGTATAGCATACCAAAGACATAGTATAGTATAGTATGGCATTAAAATGACACAGTATAATAAGGCATTAAAAAGTTATAGTACAGTGAGGCATACAAAAGACATAGTATAGTAAGACATAAAAAGGACACACTATAGTAAGTCATAAAAACATTAGTATAATAGTAAGGTATAAAGAGTCATATTATAGTAAGTCATAAAAAACACCATAGTATAGTAAGGCATGAAAAGTCATTGTATAGTAAGTCATAAAAACACCATAGTAAAATAGTAAGGCATAAAAAAGCCACATTATAATGAGACATTAAAAAGTTTTTGTATAGTAAGTCATAAAAAATCATAGTATAGTAAGTCATAAAAACGCCGCAGTATAATAAGGCATTAAAAATTTATAGTACAGTGAGGCATACCAAAGACATAGTATAGTAAGTCATAAAAACGCCGCAGTATAATAAGGCATTAAAAATTTATAGTACAGTGAGGCATACCAAAGACATAGTATAGTAAGTCAAAAAGTAAGTACAGCATGGCATAAAAAGTTATTGTAAGGCATAAAATGTCATAGTATAGTAAGGCATAAAAAAGTCATAGTATAGTAAGAGATAAGTAAGGTATAAAAAGTCATGTTATAGTAAGGCATAAAAAACACCATAGTAAGTCATAAAAACACTAGTGTAATAGTACGGTATAAAAAGTCATATTATTGTAAGGCATAAACACCATAGTATAGTAAGGCGTCAAAACACCATAGTACAATAGTAAGGCATAAAAAGTCATAGTAAGGCATAAAATACACCATAGTATAGTTAGGCAAAAAAAGTCACAGTATAAAAAGGCATTAAAAAGTTATAGTACAGTGAGGCATACAAAAGACATAGTATAGTAAGTCAAAAAGTCATAGTATAGTAAGTCATAAAAAGTCATATTATAATAAGACATAAAAATGTCATAGTATAGTAAGACATAAAAACGACAAACTATAGTAAGTCATAAAAACACTAGTATAATAGTAAGGTATAAAAAGTCATATTATAGTAAGGCATGAAAAATCATAGTATAGTAATGCATAAAAAAGCGATAGTAAAATAAGTCATAAAACGTCATAGTATAGTAAGTAATAAAAACACCATAGTAAAATAGTGAGGCATAAAAAGTCATTATATTAAGGCATAAAAAACACCATAGGTATAGTAAGTCATAGTATAGTAAGGCATAAAAAGTCATAGTATAGTAAGGCATAAAAAAGCCACAGTATAATAAGGCATTAAAAATTTATAGTACAGTGAGGCATAGTGAGGCATACCAAAGACATAGTATAATAAGTCAAAAAGTCATAGTACAGTAAGTCATAAAAAGTCATAGTATAGTAAGTCATAAAAAACACCATAGTAAAATAAGTCATAAAAAGTCATAGTATAGTAAGGCATAAAAAGTCATAGTATAGTATGGCATTAATACAGCATAGTATAGTAAGTCATAAAACGTCATAGTAAAGTAAGGCATAAAAAATCATAGTAAAGTAAGTCATAAAAACACCATAGTAAAATAGTAAGACAAAAAAAAAAGCGACAGTATAATGAGACATTAAAAAGTTATAGTAAGTCATAAAAAGTCATAGTATAATAAGACATAAAAATGTCATAGTATAGTAAGACATAAAAACGACAAACTATAGTAAGTCATAAAAACACTAGTATAATAGTAAGGTATAAAAAGTCATATTATAGTAAGGCATAAAAAACACCATAGTTATAGAAAGGCATGAAAAATCATAGTATAGTAATGCATAAAAAAGCGATAGTAAAATAAGTCATAAAACCGACAAACTATAGTAAGTAATAAAAACACCATAGTAAAATAGTGAGGCATAAAAAGTCATATTATATTAAGGCATAAAAAACACCATAGGTATAGTAAGTCATAGTATAGTAAGGCATAAAAAGTCATAGTATAGTAAGGCATAAAAAAGCCACAGTATAATAAGGCATTAAAAATTTATAGTACAGTGAGGCATACCAAAGACATAGTATAGTAAGTCAAAAAGTCATAGTACAGTAAGTCATAAAAAATCAGAACAGCATGGCATAAAAAGTTATCGTAAAGCATAAAATGTCATAGTATAGTAAGGCATAAAAATGTCATAGTATAGTAAGACATAGAAACAACACAGTATAGTAATTCATAAAAACACTAGTATAATAGTAAGGTATAAAAAAAATCATATTATAGTAAGGCATAAACACCATAGTATAGTAAGGCGTCAAAACACCATAGTATAATATTAAGGCATAAAAAACACCATAGGTATAGTAAGGCATTAAAAAGTTATAGTACAGTGAGGCATTCAAAATACATAGTATAGTAAGTCAAAAAGGCTTGGTTATAGTAAGTCATTAAAACGACATAGTATAGTAATGCATAGAAAGTCATAGTATAGTAAGACATAAAAAGTCACAGTATAGTAAGGCAAAAAAAAGCCATAGTTAAGTCATAGTATAGTGAGGCATTTTGAACGACATAGTATAGTAATGCATAAAAACATCACAGTAGAGCAAGTCAAAAAAGTCACAGTATATTAAGTCATAAAAGTCATAGCATAGCAAGGCCAAAAAAGTCACAGTATAGTAAGGCATAAAAAACACCATAGTATAGTAAGTCATAAAAAAATCATGCTTTAGTAAGCCATACAAAGTCATATTACAGTAAGGCATAAAAAAGCCACAGTTTAGTAGGACATAAAAAAGACATAGTATAGTACGTCAAAAAGCCATACTATAGCAAGTCAAAAAGTCATAGTATAGTAAGGCATGAAAAGTTCATAGCAAAGCAAGTCATAAAAATGTCATAGTATAGTAAGGTATAAAACAACAATGTACAGTAAGCCACAAAAAGTCATAGTATAGTAAGTCATAAACACCATAGCATAGTAAGTCATAAAAATTCATGGTATAGTAAGGCATAAAAAAGTTATAGTGCAGTATGGCATAAAAGTCATATTATAGTAAGGCACAAAAAGCCATAGCATACTAAGGCATAAAAAGTCATAGTATAGTAAGGCATAAAAAACACCATAGTATAGTAAGTCACACAAAGTCATAGTATAGCAAGGCAGAAAAAGTCATAGCATAGTAAGGCATAAATAGCCACAGTATAGAAAGCCATAAAAAAGCTATAGTATAGTAAGGCATTAAAAGTCATAGTGTAGTAAGTCTTAAAAAAACACCATAGCATAGTAAGTCACAAGAAAGTCATTGCATAGTACGCAATAAAAAGTCATAGTAAGGCATAAAAACGTCATTGTATAGTAAGGAATAGATATTGTATAGTAATGCATACAAAGTCATAGTATAGTAAGGAAAAAAAAAAAGTCACAGTATAATAAGGTATTAAAAGTTTATAGAACAATGAGGCATAAAAATGACTTATAGTATGTCAAAGTCATAGTATGGTAAGTCATAAAAAGGTCATAGTAAAGTATAAAAAGTCATAGTATATTAAGGAATAAATATAATAGTATAGTAGGGCATAAAATCATATCGTAAGGCACAAAAGTGTCACGGTAGATGTGTTTATTCAGTTTGAATTGCTCATGTTAAAATGTGGCTCAATATTTTACAAGATGTTGATCAATTCAAAGTTAAGTGCTTATCAGTATTGTGATTATCTAAACCGCTTCCCTCATGAAATGCTGATTGATGTGGCTTCTAACTGTCTGAGCTGAGACATTTCTCAGTAGATGTGTTTCAGATTAACTTTTACTGTCTGGGTGACTTACATCACCGATGTGCATGGGCAGATTCAAATTACCCATGATTTCCTCTGATAACATTAATCCTGTCTGGAGAGGGCTTAAAGTTTTTTTCAGTTTTCTCTCCAGGCAGCGATGAAACCCACAGATGTGATTTTTGACATAGTCTGTTTCAACACAAAGCAACAGGAAGTCTGATATTGTCGGTCAGTGTTCATAGAAGATAATATCTTTATTCATACTCTCTTTACAATATTGAAAACCAAAAACAGAAAGATGGCATCTTGATAAAATCTCTCACAGAGAAACAACAGAGCAAAACATGGGGAGGCCCACATTGATACAAAAATAAACTTTATGAATTAAAACAAATGTAACGTACATTCAAGTGATGTCATATTCTGCACAAACAACCTACAACACAAACACAGGTACAGACTGTATATACAACACAATACTTGATAAGATCTTTTTTGTACAAAGGACTGGAAAAAATGTTTTAACTAAAACAACAGTCACAGTTCAACAACCAGAGATGGACAGATGTTCTACGTTAACCCACAGCGAACAACGCTTCAGGAGGATTTAGTGACATGTTCTCAGATTTAGCTAAAATAAGTTGAAAAGCTGAATAAAATGGAGATGGCATGGCCTCAGCGTTGTCTAAAATAGTCTCTGGCTAAGTAAAACGAGATCCATGTTATAAAAATGAACTTTTCTTAAATCTTGAGGATGCATTTTGAACTTTGTCGTTGTCATTTAAGGGAATAATCTGCAGCAAGCGTTGGATGAAAAGATCAAGATCAGTTCTTCCGCTGCCGTTCAATACAGAAGTGGCTGTATTCATTTAGCACAAAGAGTGTAAGCAGGGGTAAATGGCTAACCTAGCTCCATCAAGTGCACATATTACATGTGTATTTGTGAATATAAAGTGAGATATTCTAGTTTAAAATGCAGTTACCTCGTGAATTGAAGCAGAACAAGAACAGTTCGATTCAACAGTAAAAGCTTAACACAAAACAAAACATGTTTAAGAGAGGCTTTAATGGATTGATGAATCACTTATTATAACAATGTATAAATATAGTGCTGAAGGGCATTTTTCTTTTTAATTATTATGGATACTAGCATTTTTCTGCTACCAGTATTTGTGCCAATGTTACTCACATGACAAAGCTACAGGTCTTCATTGAACTTACAGAGATGAAACCAATATTGATCTTCTCATCAAATTTTTTGGAATCACAGAAAATAAAAATATTTCCCATTCACAATTATAGTATTTAAGGATATCCTGGCTGAAAGTTTTAATTTTGTCTTGTTTGCTGTGACTGCAAAATGTGCTTTAACCTTTGCTGCAAGTCAAATATCCCCTTTCAGACAAAAAAGGGGCCTGTGTGCAGATAAAGCATGTGCAGTGGTAGCCATGCAAGTCTCTCTGAATGCATCCTGAGTTTTGTGCTGCAAATTCTTACAAACCCTAATTCCTGTCAGTCTTCCTTTCTCTCAGATAGTGTCAGAACTCAGCAGCTAAACCAGCAGTGACTGAATATGTATTAATATTTGCTCTGTGTGTGTGCTCTGATTTAGCCTATTATGGTTGCAGACCGGGAGAGATGCGGCAGTCAGGACATTAAGAACAAATGAGAGTTACAGAGAAGCTGACAACCTATCCAGGCCTATCTGAATCACCCTGATGTCTGTTAACACATGTTACAACAAATGTATTTTCCCAGTACAAACAGTGCCCTTATGTCTCATGCATCTCCCCGACCTCTGAGAGCTGTGTAAAAATCCAGTTGATGCGGGTTTCGATTTTTACAAGCATGATCTGCATCCTCAACATGTTTACATGGAGGCAGCAGCAGTAAACACTGTGTACACACACACATTTCGCTCCATCGTTTGCCAAAATACAAACTGTCCAAACAGCTGGAAAATCTAATCTGTCTCTCAGATCTGATCTCTGAGGCGTCTACCGGTGCTGGAATTCACAAACCAACCGATCAAGGTTGTATGTTGTTTGCACAGTACAATCACTTGCCGACATTGGTTGTTATAGCGACAGAAAAAATCAGTTTCAGCTTCATGTTTGAACATAGACTGAAGAATGCTGTAACTGCTGAGTGGCCAAATTAAAGCATCTGCTGAAATATCTGTTATCAATACACTCATTGTGGCATATGGCTTTCTGTAGCCATGCTAACATTCAGTGTATGTTGTACCTTAAACAAAGTGCAGAGTCTGCCCATATACTGTAATTTACATGGCTACCATTGTAGGTTTGTTTTAGTAAGATTGGTTAATTAGAAAACACTGAGAAATCAACACTTTTACCCCTGAAAAGATTATTCAGTTGATTGTGGTTTCTGCAAAAATAAAATTGAAAAGTCCCCTCAGTCCATGTTAGGTAATATGCAGATACCAGCACCTCAGATTTTAAGGGTGGCTTGTTTTAGTCCATTTCATATGCTAAATTGAACAATTGAATTGAATAATTTTTGATAAGAAATTTTGTAGCAAGTTGTAATTGATTTTTTTTGTTTTTCCACTTTTTATAGGCTGAACTGAAAAAGAAGTGATTAACATCTTAAATGAATAATCTAATACAGAAAATCAATTGGTAAGTATTGCTTCATTTGTTATGGAAAAATTGTAAACATTTACTAATTCCAACTTCTCAAATGTTATGATTTGTTGTCTTGTCAGTGAAATGATAAATGCTGGGTCAGACAAAAAAAGCAATTGAAAGACATGTTACGGCCACTTTTACTAGTCTTTGATGTTTCGTAAACCAAAATCTTTGTTTGCAGTGATATTTAATTGAGATTATTGTGGTTCTTCACTGTTAAACAGTTACTTTTAAGAAAATGCTGTTCAGGCTAAACATAGACTTTAATATTCAGTATAATACATTCACTTTTTAATACGCTGCATACTGCACAACCAGCTCTGGACCAAAACAAACATTTCTTTTATCTGAAGCTTGCATATTTGCACCATTTAAAATGGCTGCATAGACATTTCTTTACCACTGCTAAAAACGACTCCACATTAACTGTTTCTTTTATCATTGGTGGCAGCAACACTGCTGAGCAGAACTTGATCACAAACACTAACATCTCCTCTATAGAAAATACTGTGATCTTGTTCACACTCATTAAATCGACGAGGAGATGCTTACAGATTAAGAATCTACAGAATTTACAGTCATGGAAACAGTAACAGTTAAAGTTAACATACATCTACTTCACGACTAACATCACCTTGTGTTTATGGCTTTTATGTTTGTTTGTTTTTTTTCTTTTCTTTTTGTTTTTTGAGGATCCAGCCTCCCTCATTATAACAGACAGCAACAATAAACAACATTAAGCTGATTAACGAGTCCAGTGAAATGTTCATCCTGCATGAAATGTGCTTGATTTGAAGTAGTGGGCTGATGGTTGATGCATTTTAAATCTGTTTTTCTGACATTTTTGTGGTTCTTTTCTGACCCAGTAAATTTCATATGAACACCAACACGCAGCAGGAGAATGCAGACATGATAAACCTCGCTGGTTATTCACTTTTCATACAATGCAATCAAAGCTTTTTTTTTTATCAGGATTTCATCACAAAGACATTTCTAAATGAGCGTTGTTGGCTGAATGTCACACCAGCAACTGTCATGGTAACAGTGTTTTCCTCGTGCCTGCTGTCATATGTTCAACCACACACTGCACATATCCACACCATTATCAATGTTTGGCAGAGCTTAAAAAAATGTCTTTAGAGTGGCTGGCTTGTCAGACGTGTTTGAAATGCAAGAGATGTAGTTTGCCTCACAGGACATGTTTCGAAAGCAGACCCCTCCACTGAGGCGGATTCTCCCTCATTGAAGCTTAAAAAAAAGTCTTGAGTTTTGACTTTGAAACAATCCACAGTCAATTCAGTAATACTGTTCACGATTTCACAACCTTTGTTAACGAGTGCTCTCAGCAGCTTGGACAAAAACATGAACTTCTGCTGAACTTCCAGTGAAGTAACCGAGGAGTCCTGAATTACCTCCATCTAGTCTGGCACAGCAAGACTACACGATTTTACACGAAGTCAGACACGTGAAAGACATCTGAAATAATGTTTCACACGGTGCTTTTATCTCCATCTGCGTGGAAAAAACGACTCAGATCTTGCAGTGAGAGACCAACAAGCTGCTGTTCAGTAGTTTCCAAGAGTCCCATCTGAGAAGTGTGCTGGTACATACAGCTACCGTAGAGTGGGGGAATAGTAGAAAGGTGGCATGTACTTGTTCTGTTTAGGTTTCCATATGAAACTAAAACTGAATAATCACCAACGAGGATGCAAACAGCCATGGACGGATGTAAGCTTTGAGCCAAACTTGGTCTTAAAACATCACCTCCTCACAGCTCCCGTAATCGCTCCCCACCATGCTTGACCCATCATAGCTTCGTGGGTTCTGCCCAGTGGGTCGTGTTTGAGGTTGGGCGGGGTTTGGAGCTGGCGGCGGGCTGGCCTGTTCTGCATATGATGGCATAGCCACACTCAGACGCATGCTGAGTCTCTTGTAGCCTCCTGAGACGTTGTCAAGGCTGCGAGTGTGTTGGGTGGGGTAGTAGCTGATGGCGGTGTACTCGTTGGGGCACTGGGAGCTGGGAAGAGGTAGCCCGTCAGGACCCAGGAAGTCGTCCAGGTTCTGGTTGCTGTAACACGGTGGAAGGGGTGCGCGGCGGTCACAGCGGTCCAGTGGGAATGGGAAGCCACCAAATCGAGAGTTCCTCCGCGACTCCATGGTAGAGGTGGAGTAAGTGTCCTCTACGATGTCAAACTGCGGGAACTCCTGGACTGTTGGCCGCCCGTAGTAGTCTGGGTCTGCAGGGTAGACTGAGGATAGAAGACACAAAGGAACATCAGCATTTTTTTTTAGTCTTCATATTTTATGTAGATTTGTTTTTTTATCTGTTGATCATCAAATTCCATAATAATAGAATGAAATAGCTTGCAATTTTCTCAAATTTGGATTAGAGCTGATTGATCAATAATAATTGACTGACATATTCACTGATACGATGTACAGTATCTGCAATAAGCTATTAACTGCTGCTGGTTATTGGGCCGGCTTATTCGTTAGTCTAGCTCAAATTCGGATGAATAGATCATAGGAAGACTGTAAAAAAAAAAAAAAAAAAAAAACCCAAAAAAACCATGCATTTTAGACAAATGCAAAAATATTTTCCCTGCTTAAAATTTTAAATCTTAAAAACAGTGTTTTTAAGAATTCAAAACCTGACACTACTATAGTCAACTGCCGATCATACTGATAAGTTTACCAGAGAGTCTGATCACCTCTCAGACTGAACAAACAACTCTAATCGACACTTGTTGTCACTGAAAGATTAATATTAATAAATACTGGGACAGCTGTTGCTGTGCCGGACGGATTTGAGCAAGGATTTAAAAAAGCTTTGACGATTTGCATATTAAATCCTTAACTGTAGATTTGAAATGGTGTGGGTTTGATTAGCAGAACAGGAGGAGGGGAGATGTCTGAAGAAAACTAAAATGTGTTAAACTAACCACATTTTACTGGAGGGCAGATGACTGATGCAGAACCACTTCTAATGACAGTGAAAGAATAATCCTCCCTCTTTGGATAAACCAACATTAAGACAATGCAAGGGCAACCTTGATGATAACCTTCTCTAGCTTTTTGTATGCCGCTGTGTGTCTTCTTTATCATTTTAATATTTTCCTGAAACTAATCTCAAGCTAAATTCCCCAACCTTGAAATACTTATTTGATGATTAATTTCAATGTGCTAATCCTAAATAAGAAGTTACACTCAGTAGACATTTTAAAGCTTTTTCTGCAGATTTAACCACAGGAAGACAGTGGAATACTTGTTTCTCTCAGTTTGATCTTGGGGACCCAGTTTGTTGACGACCTTGCAGTGATTCATACTTCAGTTATTTTCCCTTTCAGAGACTTTTCTGCCTCTGTGACATTGTTCCCTGTGTATTGTATCATTTGTTCTTGTGGAAAATGGTCTAAATCAGCATTATTCAATGCCTCAGTGAGGAAACTTGAACCTGTTGACACACACCTACCTGCATTCATTAATGTGAACAGCCTTTCTCAAATTGGGTTGTGTGACACATAGCCAAATATTGTCAAATGATTTAGTCACTATATCATTCAGAACTGAAAAAAATGATCAATTAGTTAATAATCAATTAACAGTGAGTATTGGTAGTAATTTCTCAAACAGAGTGACAACATTCTTTCGTTCAAGCTTCTCCATTGTGAGGATTTGCCTCTTGTCTGTCTGATTTATTTGGGGTCTGAACTTTTGATTGGACAAAACAAGCAACATGAACTATAGATAATAAGGTTGGCGTTTTTCATTATTTTTCATATTTCACTGAATAAGACATTTGATGATGTAACGTTCATTTTTCAGTATTTTATTTTAAAGACCAAACAATCAATGGATTTATCAGTAGTTCCAGTGTCATCAGAAAGTGGTAGTAACCTCATGCTTGGCATCTGATGTGTTTTTGTCCCTCAGTAGAACCTAATCAATGCCACAGACTGTATGAGCATATATGCCAGCTGTTAACCATGAACTAATTCAGTATAGAAATACTAAATATATGTCTGTGTTCATTTTTATTAACACTGGGCTCTATTTTAACTATCCAAAGCACATGGTCTACAGTAGTTTGTCAATGTCATTTTTGCTGCTACAATGGCAAAAAAAAAAAAAAAAGGTTGCTGCACCAGGTGCACAGTTCAAAAGGATTGTACTTAATCTGCATGGGAGTGTTTTGGGCGTAACATGTAATAAAACAATCACAGTGCCATCTCCCATTCTCTTTAAAAGCCAGGCATGCTTGCACCTTGGCGGATTGTTGTTATAATGGCGCATTATCTCACACAGAGTTTGGTTGTCTTTGTGGTGAGTTGATTACATATTGTGACTGACCACTGTGGGCTCACTGGTTGATAAATCTTGTTAAATTTGTAACTATTAAAAATCCTACACACTTGATGCTGTTATTTCTACAATAATCACACAATTTTACAGTTATATATATTTTACAGTACCTGAAATTTGGAACGGAGACACGGGCACTGACAAATTGTTAACGATACTTAACCCCAGATTTAACCTATGAAAGTGTATAAATATATTAACAATAAAGAACTACAACTACTAAATCGAAAGGAGAAATGCAGCTCAGCTCACACTGTCTGACAGCAAGCACCCTGCAGCCATCAGCGCTTAGCAGAAAAGATGGCGCCAATATCTGAAAACAAACTGAGGATTCTTTAGGATTACCACTTTAGATTCCTGCCCTTCATCCCCAAAATCTTCAGCTAACAAGGCCGACGCATTATACAGTTTGTTCAAACAAAACAACATTAAAAAAAGCCTCCTGCTGTCACTTGAGTTACTGAGAATACTGAGCAGTCTCCCAGCTGCTTGCATTATGAAGCAGAGAGAAAATGAGACAAAGTGACAGGAAGTTACAAGGAGAGACTGGAAACAAGATGAGAAACAAACAAAGACAGAGAGCTACTAAGAGCGAGAGAGAGAAAATGAGGCTGAGAGACAGATGGTGGAGGAAGAGAAAAATAAAGAGTAAAAGATGGAGGGAAACAAAATGAAGGGATGAGGGACAAACAGGTGAGAGATGTGGGAAAGAAAGAAGCAGGGGAAGAACTGAAGAGTAGAGAGAAAGATGGAGTGAGTGATAGAGTGTGGAAGAGTGATAGAGGTCAAAGGGAGATAACGAGGGGAAGGAAGAGAGACAGACAGAATAGATGAGAGGAGACAAAGTGAATAAAGAAATTAGTATTTTCACAATGTTTCCAGTCTAAAGAGATGAAAAACTGACACATCTTTAAATCTCTCTCTGTAGATCTAACAACAGACATCAAAGGTAGACATTCGGCTCACGCTCTTTGCTTGTATTATTTCCACACTTCGCACAGCTCAATAACTTGTTAAGAACAAGAGCTGTTTTTATTGTAATGCTGCAGAAAACAAAAATTTCCACAGGCTGCAACACTGATAACAAATGGCAGAGCTACTCTTAAAGACTTTTTCAAACCTATCTTGATGCACTGGTCACATTACCGCATGTATGTTGAGTTAGTTACCGTTGGCTATAATCCTTCCACTGGCTGTCACTCTGCAAGCCTAGTCTTACTATTACGTTAATATACTCCTACTTTATAAAACAAATATGTTTTTGAAGTTTCTTATTAACATACTGAGAAAACTTTTTAAATAAACTTCCAAGTCGCAAAATATTAATGAGTGTATCTGCAAAACTTTCACTTACAACACATTTCTTAGCTGTGTTTTTGTGTGTAAAGGTGCGTGGCAACTAAAGCATGATGAATGTTTTTATTGTTGTGTTTAGGGAACTCAAAGGACTTGGTTAAGGCTGGGGAAAGATTATCATCTTGGTTGAGACAGTAGCACAAGACAGAATGTGTTTACTTTTTCCATATTTAACCAAAACCATAATCTTGTAGTTTTTAGGAAAGGTTAGATACTAATGTTCCTACCCTGCACAACCCACCTCTAAAAGATTAGGGACAAAATCCACAGCTCTTTTTCTGTGCAAAATGCTTCCTAAAGTCACAATTGGACAAATGAAGTAGGTTAGTCTTTTTAGATAAAACTGCTTTGGGTTTCCTTGCTGAGCTGTTATAGAGGTGTACTTATTGGTATCTGCGCGTATGTTCTTGCCAGAACCCAGAACACAACCCTGCCAACAAACCTAAATGCAAAAACTTTGCTTTTCTTGCATGTTTTAACTACAGATCACTGTGGCTGCACCACTTAATTCAGAAAATATAGAAAATGAATAAAATCATTTGGTGTCAACATTCATCCATCTGCAGTTTTGGGGAGTTTTGAACAAAGCTATTAATATTTTTCATGGTGGCTGACAGTTTGATGGGGCCATGTGACTGGATGCTTCATCAATTCATTAATAGTGATAATGACAGAAGACGGACGCTCTATGAAGTGTCTTTTTTTGAGTGAGTTTCTTTTATACTGAGAAACTATTGTTTATTCTTTGTTTTAAATTGTGGGCATGTCAGGCAGCAGAATCATACTACAGGTGAGGTTTAGTCAATAGATTAAGTGCTGGGGTCACAGGGCAAATTGAAAGCAAAGTGTAAAGGATTCAGCCGCCGTCCCCTTTAACAATGAGTGGGATAACAAGTGAAGAACTACAGGAATGTGTCCTTTATTCTCTGTGATAAGGTCAAGCAGATGAATGACCTGCCAAGCTGGCGTTGCCTGGGGAACGGTGGCATGACGAACGCCAAATTTGTCTCTTCATCTGTCTCGTGAACATAGCAGTGAATGTATGACTCACGGCTGTATTGATCTGCTGCATGAAAGAAGGAAAAAAACAAGAAGCTGCCCACAAGTGTTGGGGGGAGAATGTCAGAAAGGTGAGGAGGAAAGAGAGAGAGAATGACAGAAGACCAAAAGTGGAGGATTAGAAAGAGACAAATAGTCTACAGAGAGATAGATAGAGGGAGGGATAAATGAAGAGAGAAAGGTGGAGAACAAGGGAGAGAGGGTGTAACAGAGAAAAAACTAGAGAGAATGAGAGAGAAGAGGTGAAAGAAGCCAAGATGAGAGCAGGGGAACATGAGAAAGAATGAAGAGGGTGGGAAGGAAGATAATGGGCCTCATGCAAAAACATTTTTGTATTTTTATCTCACACCTCTTATAATTTTTTTCTTCTTCTCTGATTTTGCTGTCCATCAACAAAAAAAGTAGACACCAACTCATAGATAAAACAAACTCCATAGTGCGACTACAGGTAAAAAAACTCCACAAGGAAACTTTAACTTATTATTACATACATAATATTAAAAATAACTACTGAATCAAACCACTGTTGGATTAACAGTGCATTTATGATGATGAGGGGAGGGTGTAACAGAATATAGAATGAAAGTAGAATATAGACAAAGTCACACACAGTAAAAAATGACTGAGATATGAAAGAGAGAGAAGCATTCATAGAAAAGAAAGTGGAAAATAAAGATGCTGAGATGAAACAGAGAAATCACTTTTTTCCTGATGTTATCACATGTAATCAGCCTTGTATATGAATGTTTCATCTTCCACAGTTTAATCAACGTTGCTTGTTGACAGGCAGTCTGGTGTTTCCCATGATTCACCACTCTGCATGACAATTACATACTTGTTTGCGGTGACCTTGATTGACTGAATCATTCAGTTTGCTCTGACCTTTTGTCCCAACGTGCGGCTTTGCAACACAACAGAGAAAGCTGGTGTGATTTAGTTTGTTCATTTAGTTCACTGACACTGTGTTTTTGTTTGAAACTGGTCTTGCAGTTAGTAAGTTAGTGATGCAGTTAATGCTAAAACTAACAAAGATGCCCTAAATGTAAAAACATAAATTTGACAATAAAATATGCCAATTTGAGAGCGCCGTACGTTCACACTGGAAACGAAATGAAGACTCCTTTAAAATGTCAGTACACAGACAAAACCTACTCAATACTGAATTTTAATGGCCACTATTGTATCCTGATACAAAACAGGGCTGCAACTAACAACTATTTTCTTCATCTATCAGTGTGCTGATTATTTTTTTTCAACTTATCGATTCATCTTTTTATCCAGAAAATTACAGGTAATAGTGAAAAATGCCTGTTGTAATTTCCCACAGCCTGAACTGAAGTTTTCAGATTTTTGATTTGTCCAACCAACCAGTCCAAAATCCAAAGATATTCAGTTTACTATCTTGTGTCACAAAGTAAAGTGATCCTCACATCTGAGAAAGTGGAAACAAAAAATCTTTTGCTTTAAAAATGTGACAAAAATGATTTTTTGATTAGTAAAATAATTAATTGGTATTTTTGTTGTGCAACTTCTTGTTACCATACCAGGATGACAGATATGCTGATACAGATCTATTTGAAATAAGCTGATATCAACAGATATTTGATTTAGTGGCCATTTAGTAGTTCAAATCCAAAAGTTCATTGAACTGTTGTACATGTAAATCATGTGAATATATTTGTGGAAAAATAAATAAATGCTACATTACTGTGTAGTCTTTCATAGATGATCTCGCTGTGTGAGAATTGTTTTTTCTAGAACACTGGTTTGCAGTATTACTGAGCCTTACCCTTCCACAGTAAAGTGCACTTGTTGCCATGCTAAGCATCCTAAAATCATACAAACACATAAACCCACCTTCATAGTCCATGTCCCAGTGGCTCTTCCTGATGGAGTCGTTGTCAGAGCTGGACGGCGGCCTGGTGGGGAGGTTGGGGGCCACGCTGCACACAACTGGCCCCTGTGTCTTTGCAGAGGAAACCCCGCCTCCTGATGAACCAATTTGGCTGTGTGGGCGAAGCGACCTGAACGGCGTGTGGTCGAGGTCGTTGGTGGGACCGACCAGTGAGCTCATCTCGATGGGGTTGACGTCTTGGTTGTCGGCTTTGAGGCTCTTGGCCAGACTGGGCTGGAAATAGCTGTGGATGAAAGAAGAGTATAACATTAATCTTTGTGGAGTAATTACAGACACCCAAATTCCCTTAATATCGATCATCTGTTTCGCTGTTTATCTGTAATTCATTATTGTTTGGGAAGTTGAAGAAGAGTGAGAGAGGAGAGAGTTGGAGTTGAAGAGAGTTTCTGTTGACGTCCCTGTACAACTCCACACTTTATATATAACTGAAGAAATTCTGTTTCTGCTGGAATCAGATTCTCCTGCTGTTTCTCTATTTCTGGTTGGCTACGTCCAATTAGCTGACTCAGAGACTACAACCTGGCCCGTTGTGATACGACTTCTGAACTTCTTTTTAGACAAAAGAAATCACTCTTACCCATTAGAGTCCTGGACACAGACCGGCTTTTTCTTCTTCTGCTGAACGTAACGTTTCCTGATGCAAACGAAGATGCCAACCAAGAAGAGCAATCCAAGCACGCTGGCACTGATCTCCATGATTTCCACATAGCCAATCATTGGGATTACCTTCTAGAGAGGATAGATGGATTTAGTATAATAGAAGGCACAGATTAAGTGTCACTTCTGAAAAAACAAAACAAACAAGAAAAACAAACAACAGCACATTAATCAATTATTTGCAGCTCCAACTGACCTGAGGCAGGGGGTCGCAGTGGATGGAGCCGTCAGTGACTTTACAATCAAAGCCTCCAGGGCAGGGATTGGGTGAACAGACTTCTATTTGATTGTGGCACCTACAGGAGTAAAGGAACAGAAGGATTGTTATTTTAATAGGCTGTAGTTTTGTAGTGTGAATGTAGTGTATGTGTAGTGTTTTACTTTCATCAAGTCATTTAACACCTCCGCTGTATCTAAGCTCAGCACTGCTTTGAGGTGAATGATAATGTTAACGTGGTAATGTGCTAATGCTAACATACTAACGCTAACATGTTAACGGCGCTTGTATATCGTGGTATGGATGGATAGATGTTTCAACTGAAGTCGTCTATTTTTTACTTTTTATATTTTTATTATTTATGATTGTATTTTGTTTTGCATCGTGTTTTTAAAATTAAATTTATGATTGTTTTTCAGTATCTTCTATTATTTAATATGAAAAATGAAGATAAATTCCATATTTTTTAATATTTGACAAAACCCAACTATATTTAGTTTAGTAAAATGGAAGAAGCGGCAAATCCCCCCCTCCCCCCAAATCAATCAATCAATCAATCAATCAATCAATCAATCAATCAATGATTTTCTCTCTCAGTTAGCATTCAGTGGCCCGTCAGTGAAAGTTTAATTTGGCTGATGATACTGAGAGCATCACTGCGGCCCTCCATCTTCCAGGCCCAGACACGAAACAGGACCTGGAGGACTTACTAGCAGAGCTCTATTGTTGTGAGTGGGAGTGCTGCTGCTGCGATACCAACAAAAACCTATCTTTTTGTTTTACATAACACTGCCTGGTATTCAGCTTTACTCACTCATTTCCCAGGTGTTAAATTCCCTTGCTGTACCTTCCACCACTTGCATAGCAAAATACAACATTCATTACTTTTTGCTTCGACAAGGAGTCCGGGTTTCAGAAAGAGAGAGAAGTTGCTTGATTAACTGAGTTGTCAAATCCTGTATGTTTGTGTTTGAATGCCGTTTGGATGGATGACTGTTCCTGCATATGATATTAAATGAAAATACAGCAGACATTATCAATACATTCTCCTATGTGCTGCTGTCCGCTGCAGATGCTGATTAAAATGTGACGCACATGTTAAGATAATTATCAGACCGCATCAAACATCTATCTCTGTGCTTTGCAAGTCACACGGCAAACTCCCACTTCCTGCAATTACAATCCACCAGCGGTCATTTTTCATTCGCTGAGTTAATCAAAACCCCAACTGGAACATGGTCCACTGCTAATACCCGCAAGGAGTGATGCAATTCCACAGGCAAGAGGTCTTAATGAACGGAGAAATATGCAAATGCAGCTGTAATTTCATTTGAACGTGACTCTTCTCTTTGGTGGCTGTTGGTGGTGTGAGCAGAATAAAACTAGTTGGTTGTATGCTGTGTGTGTGTGTGTGTGTGTGTGTGTGTGTGTGTGTGTGTGTGTGTGTGTGTGTGTGTGTGTGTGTGTGTGTGTGTGTGTGTGTGTGTTATAGTTAAGAGTACGTGAGTCCAATCACATACACATGCAAATTCAAGGCCATGCATGTTGATTTTCAGGTTCGAGCATGTACTTCAGTGCAAGTGATACTGCATATAATCAGGGTTGTGCTGGATTGTTTTCTTGGCCTTGTTGGAATTATGATGATACTTTTCTCCATCTAATTATGACTGTTTCATTCCTCCTGATCACCAGAATTCATAATTATCTTAATATATCTTACTCTTTTTTTTTTTTTTTTTGGATCAATATCAGACACTAAAACTCTGAAAACCAGACAATTCAAAAGAGAAATTAGTGTTATCAGCTCTTGAGGGAGGGATTAGCTCAACACCACTGTGTTTAAGCAAAAATAATGTTTAAAATTACCTTACTGATTGAAAACAGTGAATAAACAAAGTATGTGTATGTGTGCATTTACCGTGCTTCAGCGTCGTCCAGAGAGCAGTTGCACATGTAACCATGAGCCTTGGGTACACACACCCTGCCGTGGGCACATGGCTGGGAGGCGCACGGGTTGTCGGGCAGCTTGCAGTGGGCGCCGTGGAAGAGTCCTGCACACCTGCAGCGCGGCTCTACAGAGCAAATAAAACACATCCAAATGTCTGAGACAAGTGCGACTGATCAAAGCCACGGCAAGTCTCCCTTACAGGCAGCAAAAAAAATCAAAGCAAAGGTCAACCTGATCTAACCGGAGAACACGAGTGTGTGCTTGATATTTAAAGGGAAAAATCAACCCTAAAATACTTCAGCACTGCTTAACAGCAATGTTTCTGTTGTTTTTCTTCCTCCTGCTGATAACTGGTCAAACAGTTCAGAAGCTACAAAAGAGTTACAAATAGTTTCAATGATGTAAAACATCAACATCATGTTTTGCCATTTTGCATTATCATTCAACAACCACACACGGAGAAAACCATCAGAGAAGAAGAAACAGACCAATTTCTTCATCCATAGGAGGAGGAAATACAATGTAACAATTACACATCATCAAATTGGCAAGATCTGCTGCATTAAGAAAAAATCCATTATTTCATATTACAGGACGATCTATCAGTTCTGCTTAATAACTTAAAAACATTTTGGTGACGGTTTGGAAAGAAACCAGTTATTAACAGCTTTATCACTGATATCGTGCCCGCCTGAGGGATCCTTCTGCTTATTTGCTTTCATTGTATTACAGTCATTTGGAAGATGCTTTTGTCCAGAGAGACTTACACTGACAATTGGTTCAGTGTCTTGTTCAAGGGCACTCTGACGTGTAAGGCCCGAGAACTGAACCACCAACGTTATACTGTGTGAAAATCTCTGAAATGAGTCACTTTAGTAGTAACCTGTAATCTGTTTGTTTTTTTATAACAAAATACTTTAAGCTCCAAGGTGGGATACCTGAACCGATATTTGCTTATCACCGATCTATATGTATTGGTGTATTGTGTGTGCTGATGTGTCAGGAAACTGCAGTACAAAAATGCCAAAGATATTACCTTAAACAAATTTAAGGGATGGTGATCAAAAGTAGTTGCTTAGTTTCTGGTCCAGGTGTCTTGGGTCTTGTGATAATAGGTGGACCTATATTTCCTAGGTTTGCATTTGGGGATTTTATAGACAGCTGATGTTGTCTGGGTTCCAGGGTTCTTACAATCTTACCAATGTAGTGTTTGACATATTTGTTGCCTGTGATGTCATACACCACTCCCATTTTCCTCTTAAACACAGACAGGAGTCATTTTATCCTACCATATATGACAATTTATGTTACACATGTCTCGTGTATGTCACATTGGGGATGACCGTTTGCTGGTTGAAGGGTTTTTTTTTTTTTACATATCTTTTTGTGGTGTTTCTTTGTTAACTTGACATTACAAGCCAAGACCTAAAAAAGCCAAAACTGGTATAAGAAGAAGAATACAAGTTAAATCTCACTGTTTTCATCTGCTCTGTGTTTTCCTTTTACTTCACATCTATTTTTACTCTCTTTGGGGGCAACCTAAATTGAAGCCTTTGTAAAACAGGACGGGAACAACTTTATATTCTGCAAAAAAAAAAAGGAAACATCCACAGCCTACATCATTTTTGCTACATGTCTGCTTAAATTTCCTTGACCGGGAGGAATCTCTTGGGAAATAATATTTATTTGTTGTTCAGCATCGCACCCCAGAATTTGTGCCCAAAGCTTGACTGAAATGTGATTTGACATGATGATGAATAAAGTCCTGAGAAAAGTAATACCTGGCAGGAACCTTCTGCCCATGAAGCAACAGTGGACATTTTCTTATTGTACTACAGGAGAATAAGGACTTATGTAGTTCAGTGACCTAACAGGCACACCTATATTAAAGAAACGGGCTGGTTTTTGATAACAGCTTTGGGATTCCTTTGTTTACACTGTTCTTCTAAAGCACAGAGATCTGTATCTCCTCCGGCTTTATGTTTGGTTTCATATCCACCTTCCTGGAAAACAACTGAGTTCCACAGTCTCACAGAGACTCGTGAGAATAATATTAATTTAAAGCTCCTGCTCTTTTATCTGTAAAATTGCAGGTGTGCTTATCAGCTGCAATTCTGAGTAAATACCAAGTCAAGCTGCCAGACATTCTCTTTTGTGACACATAATGAAAAAAAAAAAAACTGTAACTGCAAGCCTTCCTGATACCAATCTTTTAACATTTGTGTTTTACCAAGAACTGATGTATTTGACCAATTGGTGGTAACCTAAAACGGCAATAAGCATGCATATAACATGAAGGGCCAAGGGTGGGATAAGATTTTCAGGTCAAACTTTCATGGCAGAGTTGTGGTTCGTCTCTGAATAACAGGATGGACTGCAGCCTGAAGAACTTTTCACTGAGCCGGTTCCATTGAGCCGTAAAATTAACATATATTGTGCTAGGCAGCTACTGTACTTTACTATTTCTTCCTTGTTCAATAACAACCTGAATATTATTTACAGGGGTGTACCTGACAGGATATTTTCAAGGATAAATTATTATGTGTTATTCTATATTTTTCTTATTGTAAACAATGTGTTTGTCTCAGCACTTTCTGACTACCCTACTCTGTCAGTGGCTGTCAGCCCCATGCCCATTTCTTCCTACTTAAGACATAAATCATTAAAAAGAGCTCACAAACATATTCTATTTTTTAAAGTATCAGTAGCAAATGTAAGTAAAAAAAAGAACAAACAAATTTCACATTTCGTTATTCGTGCACTCACCTCCGATAGCGTCCTCCTCACACACCCCTCCGTTCTGACACGGGTTATTGTCACAGGCTCCTGCCCGGCTGCAGCACTGGTACACCCCAAAAACCCTCCTGCTCCCTGACCCTGTCCACTCTGCAATGTCCCCCACTCTGATTGGCTCCCCATTGAACTCTAGGCCCTCCAGGCAGCCAATGAAACTACGCGGCTGCCCATGGACCTCTGGAGCAGAGTCCTGAGCGAGTGAAGCGAAGAGCAAAGCACCATGAGAATGCATCATCCGGCATGGCTCAGTTAGGGTGGTGGAGGTTGGATGCTGCTCGTCAAGTGTCAGCCTCAGTGTGGTGGAGTTGACCTCCAGCAGGATACCGTGCCACCGGCCGTCTGATACTGGATCAGATCTGATGACTAATGAACCAGGGGGTGTTCTTCCACAACTGTAGCTGAAGTGCAGCTCTCCACTGGTCAGCTGAGGACAGAAAACAAGTCAGTCAACAAAGGGTTAACTATGGACATATTCTTTAACACAACAAGATAAGAACCAAACGTTTTTATAGAGGTCCCCATTCATGTTATGGTTTAATGAATGAATTTAACCCTATACCATGAAAGCAATGACTGTATATAAAGATGGATGACATGACAGCTCCCCAGAAGTGAAGCCAAAACATCCCAATTTCCACCTGGTGGCTGGCTGTAGCATAGATTATAAACCCAGATGGGACATGAGCCAAACTAGAAAATCAAAGGAAACGTCAAATGATTTTTTCCCAAGGATGGTTTCTGTCATTTTAGTTACTTCTTCTCATGCTGGTGTATGTTCAAGTGCTCATTTTCCTGATAAGTTTGGTTTCAGTTACTCCCAATGAGACTGCATATGTACTGGGCCATGGTTTTTGTGGTGTGCCACTGGCACCACCACAACTGTAACTTTAATTTAAGTCAATTTTTTAATAAAATATATTTTTTATATATATTACCTGAGAATACATTTTTCAGGTAATATTGTTTTGTACTGTCATTTTGAATCATAAAATATAAGTGCTTATCACGGATATTGTTTTTATGTATTTATTCACAGTGATATTAACTTGTGTATGGATGTTTACCTACAGGGTAACAGAGCTGAAACCTTTTTGATTTAAAAATAACCAAGTCAAAAATCTTTCTTTTCAAAGACCCAAACTATTCAGATATTAATGTTTGACATTTTCAAATATCCGGTGCGTTAAACACATCCCTATTTGTCATCTTCTGTTTGCAATCAGTTGACATGAGTAACATGCATTTTAGACATTGTTATTTTATGGTTTCGAATCATGTTGCAGTGCTTGTTATATTGATTTGCTTGTTCAATTGTAGAATTTTTCTGGTGGTGTTCAGTGTCGGTATTATTACTCCCCCAGAAGCATTGATTAGGTGGTTTACATGTCAGAAGATGTCTAGACGTCTAGTTGAAATGGGGCTAAATAGTGTTGAAACTGAAAGGGTTTTTTAGATGTTTGGGTTACATAATTGTTTTTTAAATGAGCATATTTAACTGGTAGATAGGTCTTACTTTGTGTTGAAATACTGATATTTAACTGTTGCTGAAACAATGTTTAGAAGTAGCCAGGTTTTGAAGTAAATCACCAACTCAGGGCTTCTGTTATTTGTGTTGTACTGGTCTTAACATAAAATCTCATTAGTACTGGGAGATAACAAAATCTGGTCAGTTTTTATGAACCAAAATGAAAAATGCATAAGCTTTTGAGTAAGAGTGAAACAACAGATTCAAATAATAAACTCAAAACACTAAATATAATCAATTCCAGCAACTACAGTAACTTGTTGAAGTAATTTTTTACATTCAGCCTGCATTAAGAAGATAAACATGGCTGTGTTTTTGTTGACAAGTCTTTTGTGTTACAAATAAAATCTGTTGTTAGCTTCCCATGTCGCTGATGTTCCCTGTGTACAACACCACGCAGTGCACAGTGAGTCACACACATTTATTCAGCATTTCATCAACGTCAGCAGAAGCCCCTTAACATTTCTGCCCGCTCAGCATTCTCACAAACTAACAAGGCAGCAGCTTTTTCCTGTACCTTTTATCTATTCATGTTTTCTTTATGTAAGTGAAGACTCCTTATATTTTCCCTATTAAATATACAGATCGAGTGTGTATTTTGCAAATTGCAAAGCATCACCCCATTGGACACCAAAGGCTGTGATGCATTATTGATAGAGATCTGCTTGGCTCCTGCTTCTTTAATTGGCTGCAGGACGATGAGTTTTTGCCTCTTTGTTTTGTTTTCTTTATTATCCACTTTTCTGGTGTTACACATGATCAGGCTGCTCAGCATTCAGGCCGTTATCTGAGCAATACTGGTTTGCTCTCTGTCCCTGCAAGAGGTTTCTCTCTGATTCTCTGCGGGGGGGGGGGCATTTTGGAGGGACAGACCTGCAAAATTCTTCTCATGGATCAATGACAGCACACAGGGAAAGGGGAGGGAGATGAGGGCTGTTCTGGCTTATCATGGGAAGATGCTGAAGCACTGGCACAAGAACAAGTGAAAACCCTGAGACATCTGAGGTGCTGGTCGCTTGTCTTTTAATCTATTTTACATGACTTAGTGTGACTTCTGGTGTGATTTATGCTGGATATTTGACGAGAGATAGCATAGTTTGGCGCACCGAGGATTTTACAGTATCAGCACAGCTGATGTTGCACGGTCATAGTGTCAAGTCAAACTCCACAGGGACTGGAGCTCCACAGCATTAGTGCTTCATGATTCCATAAATCACCAACACAACTGCTGCGAGCTTCCTGCAGGGAGCTTTAATGCTGCTGGGCAAAGTTCAATATGCAACAACGGCTGCTACACTGGTGTACTCTGCTTGCATGTGATGTATGTGCACACACAAACAAAGGTATAACGCTGAGTGAATGAAGGAGCCAGCACAGCACCTCTGTAGTGATTAAAGCTTCACTGAGCAGCTCACTTGGTTTGTGGTTGTACATAATAAAACTGGGTAACATGGGAATAGCATTGGTGTCTGCGGCTACATTTACATGCTCATTACTATAAAATTGAAATAAGGCTGAGTGCATGTCTGCATTCACTGTTTCATTAATGGAGATGGGAAGTCATTCAGTCCAGTAGCGGGTAACTGAGGGACAGGAACAGAGGCCTTCTGGTAAACCAGTCTGGTAGACTAGTTCTGGTAAGACCATTTATCAAGGGTGGTGGATGGTGTCATTTGCTGTACAGATTGTGAAGCCTCTTGTGATAAATCTGTGATTTGTTATATTGGCTAGATAAATTAAACTGACTTAACTAAACAGAAAGGACAGTTGAGGCTGATAGGTATGTCCTTAGTTTCAGGTATTTGGTCATCCTGAGGCGTACATGAATGCCGACCAAATTTCAAGGCAATCCAAATGTTAGAGAGATATTTCACTTAACACCACAAATATCAACCTCATGGTAGTGGCAGAGGAAAAGTCAGAGGACCACCAATGTCAGAGGGATGCATCCTCTGGGGACCATGAATGTCTGAACCAAACTGCATGGCAATCCATCACATATTTCAGTCTGGAACAAAGTGGTGGACCAACAGACTGACAGAGAGACTGAATGACAGAGCCACGCTGCTGGCAAGGTTAAAGCTCATTTCTACAGTTCACTAATGAAAGGCCATGTGTTTTACTCTCTTGAATATAAATATAAATATAAATATAAATATAAATATAAATATAAAATGTGTCCTGGAGCAAGGCAATGAACTCCCTCCTGTTCAGTCATGGGAAGATAAAAGCCTGAATCGACATGAAAGTCAATCACTTTGTGTTACTGCAGCAAGCATGAGGACTGAGTGTTGGTCCACTGATTCCACACCAGCGTGTATCCAAGTCTTTGTTCATTGTCGAGTCTGCAAACTGCTCTGCTGTCAGGTCTGAACTGTCACTCTTCATCAAGGATGGTGTTTTCCCTCCACTGACAAGTCACCTTTACTTCTTTTTCTCTGCCTGTCACAGTGGCTTTTCATTCAAGCAGCCACCATCTTTGTTTCAAATATGACTTCAAGTGAGATGTGTGCAGAAATAAAAGCGGAATTACCAGCAGCAAATAGGTTTGAACTTATAGTTGTATTTTTTTTTCCTTTCTCAAAGATGTGGCTGTTGATGGAGAATACTAATGTGATATTGTGGTTATATGAAAAGCCACAGAGATGCGGTAGCTCCTGTCCCAAGGGGAAAGAGTGCGCAAATAGCGCCTTGTATCTCCAGGAAGTTTTTCTGAAGTCATCACAAAAACCAGGCGAGGGACTTCTCAGATGACCACGCATAGAAATTCTTTTTGAAGCCATTTCTCCTCACAATAAATCAGGCAGGGACCCATTCTTGCATGTGCGAGCTGAGATCCAAAACCCAGGAGGAAGAACCTTGGGAAAGACTGAATGCTGCTTTTGAAGTTTTCCGAGAATCAAGATGATTGAATATTCCAACCGAGTGCACACGGATGTCACACAAATGAGCAGAGCCCACAAGGGGAAGCATCACGCAGCATTAAAGGCCATATCAAGCCTTTTTTTTTGTTATCTGTTTAGAGAATTATTCATGTCTCTCAAAGAATACAACAATTCATTATTCTCTTTTAACGTGTCCCTTTAATATGGCACAGCAGAGATGAATCTTTCTTTCCCTTGACAATTCCAAAAAAGCATGTCAATAAATCTTGGAAGACAGCAAGTTTTTCATTACAGCTCCTGCAGAAGTCTTGCTGGTTCCCTCTGTGTGCATTTTGAGGGAAATGTGCAACATGCTACGTTCATAGCCAACAGCAGTTGTCACTACTCGAGTTAAAAAGGCATTAATGAGCTGATTAGACTGGAAAAGTGGGGGAATAATTAACCAGACGTATATTGCAGACCAAAGTATCCAATGTGGAACTTTTATGAGTGCGCGGGCCGGGAGTTTACCGCCAGCTCTGATATTCAGTCAGGCATCTAGCACATGAACACGTGAAGCAATCTGCCATGCAGAGATAAAGGGGAGGCATGCAGGATATGCTCAAACACGTGATCATCTGCAGGATTTGGTAAAAGAGAAGCAGCAGGGTTTAAAAAAAAAAAAAATACTAACAACAAACTCTCTCACTCTCACGTCGACTTTTCTTATCAGCAGTGAACGTGAAGACGCCCAGCTGCTATTTCACGGTGAAGAAGGGCACATTGTCTTGAATGTCAGCGTTGCCACAATACAACAAATTTAAATCAGGTCCCTTTTCAGGGAGTCAACAGGTGCTGTGTGATTCTGACAGTGTTGACCATATACACAAGAGTGTCATGCTATTCTGGGATCTGCGCTTGCAGTAAACACAGAAAAGGACAAACAGATTAGACGCAATGTAAGACCATATCAAATAATTCAAAAAGCATGACACCTGTACTGATAACATGACAACTGGCACCAAGTAGCAAATAAAATATTGACATTTGAGATGGTATCAGTTAGCACAGCTGAAGTAGAGCATCCAATAGTATACATGAATCTGAGCTGGAAACATTTTATATTGAAAAGCGTCACTCATTGTTGCTGCTCCCTACTGAGAACCCCCATAGATTTAATCAGCAGCTCTCAGATTTTATCGCTCTGACGGTAAATTAGTGTCAAACAACATTACACTAACAGTGTCTGAAAATTATGAAGAGATTTAATCTCTCTGCAGTAGCAATACTCAAAGAGCAAAATAAATCAACTGCCCGCTCAGAGGAGAACACAATGAATACTTACACTTCCCGCAAATGAATGAAAATAATCATTTTCGTGTTCCTGTATTTGTAATTGAATTGTTCCCTGTGCTCTGCAATTTCTTGTCATTTCATTGTCCTGAGCTGTTGTGACATTTCCAACTAACACACAATGAGGAGAGCAATTTCTCTCACATGAACAGAACAAAACACTGACATATATGTTTTGTTTACTGGTTTGTCCTTGGACCAGTTTTAAATGAATGCTGCAGTGCTGCTGAGAGCCAACACATACTGCTGCAAATGAACTGCCACTAGCAACACCACTGAATGAGCTTAAAAACTATAAATTTCATTTGAGGTTTTATGCTTCACAGCTAACTTGATATCCTCCAGCACACCTGTCTTTCTCCACTGGGACCAAATGACTTTTAAATCATTTCAGTAATTGTGTTTTATCTTTGTGTAACATTGTATTCAAAAAACAAATGTGTAATTCTTGGAAATGAGGCAGCTGTTCTCTGCTGCTGCAGGTACATTATGTAATGTGACCAAGCCATAACACTTTACTTTAACCTCCACTGTCTATCATTTATAATTAGTAATGAAACATTTTAAAATACATCATGATGCAGTGATGGGCAGATATCAGGACATTTAATTTTTTCTATAATGTAAAGCATTTCTAAAGAATTATAGCTTCTCCTATGAAGACATTTTATATTATTACAACTATGTTATATTGTGATTCATTGTTTCTGTTTATGGATGTTTTACGGCAACAGTTCAAGTTGTTGACAACTACATTAATTAACACTTAAACTGTATTAAAATGTGTTTTAAACTGTTTATTAAATGTGTATTTACTTGTTAAAAAATCTCAATGAGGAGGTTAAACTAAACTGTTGCGGTCGTACGGTCGTATACCCAGTGTGTTCCAGGGACAAACTACAGCAGAACAGCTGTTGGATGAAAGAGTACTAATAACACTCTGTTACAGGCTGAAGTCTGGGAACAAACACAATAAAGCAGCATCTGTTTGTTAAGGAAACCATGAGAACAGTACATCTGCCACAAACAGTTCAAGAGAAATCCTGTTTTCTGTCCTTAAGAAACGCAGCCTCAGAGAGAGAAATACCTGTAAGACCCCCCAGTCGTTGGTGCTGTTGGTGGACACAATGAGGCCCTGCTCCTGGAAAGTCTTGAACCTCAGTGACAGTTTGAAATTCTGGTTGTCCTCGTCCATCCTGTGAAGGTACTTCAGGTAGGATTTCCCATCAAACCTCACCGCCGACTCTGAAACACAGAAACAACAACTGTGAGCTGACACACCTACCTCACAATGTACATTACAGGAGTTGTAGACAAAAAACTAAAAAGTCAGACTAAACTGTGCTCGTCTTACCTGTATGAGTTTCTTCTCTGCTGGTTTGTATATTTTAACACAACTCTTTGTACTACAATACACTGTATTCAAATGCATAATTGGCCTTGCTCTCTGCAGATATAATCTGCCAATTAAAAAATATATAAGGAGACATGACCCCCTCCTTTAGCAACAAACTAACAGTGGAGGTCAAACGCACAGAACAACATCCTTTTTCAGTCAAAGACTCGTAGATATATGATGTTTTCATTCAATGTTCACATACACACTCACACATACAGTACACCTACACTATAAGTTGTTTGTGCATACACAGTCACGTGTAATACATACACACAGACACATTCATATTCACGTCTTTCCGTTGTTATTTTTGCCTCAATCTATTTTATCCAAAGCTAAATGATGAATAGATTAATCAACTGACATCAAATTACTCAGTGAACCATTGTAACGATCATTTAATTGTTTAATTTCTCTGCTAATATTTACTGGGTCCAGACTCTCAAATGTGACGAGTGATTGTTTTGCTCTGTTTTATATTATTTATAATCAAATATCTTTGGGTTGGACACTGTTGTTCACACTAGACATTTAAACAGACATTTACACTCAGAACTCAATTAATTAATCCAAAAACCTGATTGACAGATTAATTGATAATGAAAATAATTGTCCCTGTTCAATTATTAAACAAAAAAACCAACAGAATCAACAGGCTAAAATATTCTTAGTTTTCTTTTCAACATCCTTTTCTTTCCACACCCATAGTTTTATTATCTTTATCTATTAGTTCTAATATCTATTATATAGTTCTACCTGTGGCTCAGGTGGAGCGGGTCGTCCACTAATCAGAGGGTCGGTGGTTCGATCCCCAGCTCTTCATGTCTGCATGTCGAAGATACTGAACTCCAAATTGCCTCTGACTGCTGTTCCATCAGTGTATAAATATATGTGATGTATGAATATGTGAGTGAATGTGGCAAGTATTGTAAAGCGCTTTAACTGGTCTGTAAGACTAGAAAAGCTTTATATAAGTGCAGTCCATTTACCGTTTACTTTGGGTGACATAACATCTTTATACACTATCTTGGATAAAGTGTCTTAAAAAAACAACAACAACTAATCTCCATCAAATCCTCAAGGCAGCGCTGTTTTTCCACCTTCACCTTAATAGACCAAATGTGACAGCTGAGTCTGCAGATGAAACACGCTGCTGACAGAAACGACTACGAAGACAGAAAATAAAAAAAAACATGTTTTTCTAATTTTTGTTTGATCTTTTTAACTGGAAAATCGCTAAAAGCTGAAAAACTACATTCACAAAGACAAAAAAAATCAAATTAAAAACAACAAAGTAATCAGTGAAGGGTCTGGAACAAGTTTAAGTATCAAGCGTAGAAACATGGGGAGGAAGGACTGAATGAAGGATGGGTGAATTCATGAATGGACGGACCAGTGATGACTCCAACAGTAAAGGGAGCGTATTAGTCTTCAGACAAAACTTCGCCTGTGATTTTTTTGTGGTTCTAAGATGAAACTTTAATGATGCCTGTGGGAAGGTTCAGTATCAACATGTTCCCAAAGTCTGCTGGTGAAAAACAACTTTTTTTGGGGGGGGGATTTGAATCCACACCGCTCTCTGAAGAAAACACACCAGTTTGGTTAAAGTTTGTTGGTGTCTTAAAGATCAAAACAAATAAAACAGAGAAAGGCAGCACGTCTTCGAAACTGAGAGGCTGGAACCAGAGAATCTTTGGCATTTGTGTGTAACAAATGACTCAACTGATCATCACATACTGCGCGTGCTGTTTTGTCCTCATGAATAACACAATAGCTGGCCATTTACAACAATATGTGAAAAGTCATGCCAGGGTAAGTGGGTACTTTTAGACCTATTTTTAAAAAGTGACTTGAATACAAACTGTATATTGATTATTCAGTAAATGTATTCAGGTATACAAATCAGTTATCTATTAATTTCTTCTCATTGTTGGCTCTTTTCCTCCTCCAATGAAAATCCTGCTTTTATTCTTGTTAACATGTCCATATGGTGTTTTTTTTGGGTTTTTTTTTTATACAATACAAGACATATCATGAGCAAATTAAACAGCCCACACCATGACTGAGTATTTCCACCTTGGAACTGCAGTGAACCAATGACTGAATGTCTGTTGTTCTTGTCAGTTCTGCTCCTCAAACGCCACCGTCTTATCCCCAAACCTCAGAAACTCTTAAATCCAAAGCAGTACAGTCTCTGATATAGTCAAAATATTGTTGCGATATCGGTTCAGAAGATGTTCTAGAGGAAAAGGACTCCAAACAAGCTGATACTAAGTGTATCTCTGGGAGAAAACCAGCTGACTTTTATTTTGTTCTTGCAGCCCTAATCCTCACTCTCAGGAATGCCAACTCAAATCACTGAAGACAATCTGACGAGGTGGCGCCACTGATCAGCGGTTCAGATGTGCTGTCAGCTGTAATCGAAGACAACGGTGGGCCCACATTTACATCTCAGATGTTCTCTTTCTTAAATTAAATCTGGGGGATTTACTCCACCAGTTTCAACTGGTATGAAGACGAAGGCTCTTTGAACTCAGGCAGCAACAGATATCGTCATCGAGTTGCCTGAAAAGTGTATTGTGCTCTGCTAAAAAGGGATGATTGAATCTAAACCACCTGCTGAAAGAAGTTTTTTGTGTTCAGAAAGTCCAAACTGATGCTCATATTCAGTATTTAGCTGTTTTTTCTTCTGTTCCAGGCTGCTACATCACCAGATGACATTTACTCACCTCATCCCCTCAGCCCTTTACTAAAAGAAATGACCGACCTTTAAGTTGCTCTGTGCATTGGAACTATATAGTTACCACTTCTTTTTGCTCGCTGTAGTTTAAAAAAAGTACAAAGCACCAGACAAAATAAACCATCACAGAAACCAAACCTCTCAAAAAGCATCTCGTTTCAACTCAAGATTACAGAGGGGGGTTGCAAAATTGCACACTGTGTCACAGATCCATATTCCATGTTAATTCCACGCTATCAGTTAAGTATACTCAAACAATCAGTTTGCACACTCAAGTCGGTTGACTTTTCAGTGTGCTGTTAACAAACACACGCTACTGTCATGGAGGAGCTACTCACAGCAGCTGCAAAAAAGAGTAAAATAAATTTGCAGATGGGGATGGAAAAGCTCCGGAAATCTTAGAAAAAAAAAGTTTACTCTTTGGAAAAACACTTAACAACAAAGATAATTATACTACAACAAATAGTACATGCTGTATACAATTATATAGTATGTACTGTGGAAATGGGACAGAGACTTTCAAAAGATGTGATCTTGCGGCACAAGAGCATTGATGGATAAAAAATCATTTAAATTACAATCTGGACAAGCCCAGTCATTTTATAGAGCTTCAGTAGTAACTATGCAAATCCTGGTTTGTTTGCATTTATACAGCATGGTTACTTCCAAGGTACAACATTGCATTTTTCGCCGTCTTTCCTTCTATTATTTTGTCCCATTATTGCTGTTCTGTCTATTATTATTTTTAATGCATATGCTTTTTCCTTTAATTTACTGTACATCTCCTTATATAACGCTGTACTTTTATGAAGATATAAAAAAAAGAAAAGAAGAAGATTTTTCCATCATGACGGAACAAAGAAAAGGTGAAAATGGAGGTGGAAGTAAACCTGGCTTCACCTAAGTTTTCGTCAGTTATGCTTTCAAGTGGTTTTACGTTGTACAACTTCATCCACAGTTAGATGAGATGTCAGGCGCGCGCACACACGCATTCAAGCGCGTGCGCACACACACACACACACACACACACACACGTACCATTACATGGACATACGCTCTCCCAGGTGTGTTGTGGGGTGATGTAACCAGCTCTGGCGGTGGTGAAATGGCCCAGTCTCTCTCCCGTCAGCCGGACTGCGTTCCTGCAGCCTCGTGGCGGACAGCTGGTACCCAGACACCCGTTGTGGCTCACCCTGAGGATGCTCAGGCCCAGAGAGTCCTCGATGTCTGATATAATACCTACATCAAAGGGAACATTTCAGACGGCACATTCAAAGAGACTCTTCATCTCACTGGGACTTCCTTTGTGTCAGAAATAATGGCTGCCAAATTTTTTTCCAAAGAGTCTTCATCTATTGTAGAAACTGACCCGATGACCTGTGTTTCAGCCTAGTAGATATGTTTGGTATGAATTGCTATTATTTTTCCATTAAAAGCTAATTGCTGGTGTGTTCTAGGGCTCAGCTGGTGAAGATGCCTAACTGCAAATTAAATAAATCTAGAAGTTTATTGCATATCATTGTTAAATCCCTCCAGTCCCGGTCAACCCTCAACATTAAAATCTCATCAACTTTCCATCATTGCCTTCTGCAAATCTACACATTGCGTAGAGCTGCACAATTTCATATTTTTAATATCATCACAATTTCTACTTTCTACACTGTCCACATTGCAACAGGGTGAAATATCAGAAGGGCTCAGACTCATTAAACTTGTGGCTCCTGAACTTGCTGTCCTTTGAAAGAGGTTTAATCCTGCATTGCAGAGTTTCCCAGTATTTAAAGTTGCTGCATGCTGGTTTCCAACTGAAATTTAAGTGTGAAAATTGTGTGTATCCAATTTGGCACAGGAATTGCCAAATGTAACCAAATCCCAAAGAAAATACTGCATTTCTTCTTGTTCTAGTTTGTTTCTTTTTGTGCAGTTTGTCAGCAATGGAGTCTACAATAAAAAATATATATATTGAGTTCTTCTAAACTGAAATAAATAAAATCTTGCTGGATATGAGCAAAAAAGACTTTCTTCTGTTCCTGTATTTCATCTGTATGTGATGGCTTTTGTTGCTATAGTGACTGCTATTGTCTCACCCTTGATCTCGTAAGGTAATAAAACAGACACAGATGTAATTTGTCTGAGAGAAAAATTTCTGTCTTTGGTGTGGAAATCATAATAAAAACACAAGATTTTCACAGTTAAAACCTTCAAGCCTCCAGGAGCTTGATGACACAATGACACTGACTCACTGGAAGATTTTTGTCATAGAGCAGCTGCTGACGTGAAGGTTTGGGCTAACCATTAAAACCTTATTTTCTTCCTAAAAACTGAATTGATTTAGATTTGTACCTTTTGGGTTGCTTTTTTATAATTTAAAATATATCACGCATCATATTTTCTCAATATCATGCAGTGCTAATACATTAATACCAGTTTTACATCGGAATCAATTAAGTATTTTATAAGACCCACATTGTAACAATGATTGATCACCTGCGAGTCTGTTGGTTGGCAGAGATTGGACGAGTCCACTCTGAGGCTTCCAGATGAGCAGGGCCTCCAGGACCTGGGTGTCGTGTTGCTGCTGCAGGCTGGCCAGGTGAAGCTCTTGTCTGGGCAAACCGAGAGCTTGACCCAGGCTGCGCTGCAGGCCTCTCCAGTGATCGCCCAGAAACTCCTCCGGTGACATCCCCACCAGCTGCAGCGTTAGGCCAGAGTCCAACGCCTTCTGATCAGCTGCCCAAACATGAACTTTGACCCCGGTCCATACGCTGAACTTCCCATCGGTCACGCTGACGTTGAGTGAATACGAGCCCTCCTTCAGGTTTTCATCTGCCCAGATCTTACCATCAGCAAGGTCGACCGAGAACCTTCCTCCATCCGGGTTTTCTGACACCAGCTTGTAGGTCAGGACGTCCTGCAGGTCTTGGTCTGAAGCGTGGAGTCTCCCAATGACCCGGTTGGCAAACAGCCCTCCAGAGGTAGTGATGAAGACCTCTAAAGGCACCACAGAGGGAGGATACTTGCTCTGCTCTGTGACGTTGATGTTGACCACACAGATAGAGGAGAGGGGGGGATGACCGCTGTCTGTCACCTGAACGGAGCAACGATCACAGTTAGTACAAATCACAACGATCGAATGGACTGATATACCGATATTGATCTTTTTTGAAAAATCACAATTGATTTTGTAACTGTAAGAGACTGATTCCCATCATGAGGGTCATGCCCACAAGGGATTTCACATTGAATTTCACATCTACCAAAGTGTGTGTTTTTTCCTTGAATACTTTTTAGAGGCAAAATTATTAACAAGAAGAAAAGCAAAGATTAGAAGAAAGTCTGAAAAAGTAGCCTCATTTTGTGTTGCAAATACGTATATTTCTGCTTTCCTATCAATTTAATCGTCATGTGACTCTCCGTGTTTATCTTGCAACTCCTCGTGGGGGTCCAGATCCCCAGGTTGGGAACCACTGCACTAGATCATTAGCTGAGTAGGAAATAAGACGAAGCAACAATCTGCCACATGCATCCACTCCTTTACTTTGTTCTGGTAAAACATTGCACAGTGTAACGTCTTCAATGTGAGAAGAAAAAATGATCTGATCAGTTAATGGGTCATGAGTCACAACTCTACAGGCACAAAGAGATAATAGAAATAATGCTGTTGGATTACTTTCACTGCTTCTTCTTTCCTTCTGAACTGTTTGTGTCTAGTGATACTCTAAATGCTTCACACACTGACCAGAGGGAATCCCTGGATAAAACAGATTTTTTTAAAGCATTGATATGGTGAAATATGCAGCTATTTTTTATCAAAATATCATAACTCAGCAGTTTTTAAACCCCAAAAAACATTTTCACCAGCCAAAAGAAATCCATGCAATACAATCCACTGATATGCATATTCAGCTGTGCTCAAAAATGCCTTCAGGTCATCATCTTGAACAGCCTTGAACACTGTGACCTCATAATAACCTTTTTAATAAATTATTATTTCTAAATGGAACAGTAAACTTTATGACACTACTTAAGGATTCTGGTTGAATGGTTTCTTATAATATCACTTGTAAAATTAATTTACAGTGCTGGACATTCAAACCGGTCTTACGCCCGTCCTTAGTGATGCTAATATTGAGAAGATGTGACTCCACTTCCAATCAGAACTAATAGAAAAGGCAATTATTGGCAGTCAAATTGGTAATTAATCAGCAAATTGTTGAACCTAAAGCACCACGTAACTCTTGAGGTCAGCCAGACGACTTCTGATCCACAGTTGGCAATGAAAATTATTTAAACACTTTCTCTAATGTTGGCCAGTGTGTTCGCAGCAGCAGTGTCAGCAACGCAGCAACTGAGGCCACGAGGGACACTCTGCACTGCATCAGCACTTTCTCGCTGAAACAGGATTACAATAAACACTTTGTTTTTATAGTGTGACAATTTGTGAGATTTTCACTTTATAGTCATAAGATGAAATACTGAGATTTGACACATATGGCTATGCATTGTTTTTATCTCCCACTGGGTGGAAACAGTGTAAGAAGGACGATGACAGACAAGCGACTAGGAGCTTGTGTATAAATCATATACTGTTTTCACAGCCTCCTGACCTGTATCTTGAGCTGATGGTAGGGTTTGACTTTCTTCCTGAGTGGAGCAGAAAGTGACAGCAGGCCACCCTGGTCGATGTGGAAACGGCGTTCCTCGTTGCCGCTGACGATGTGGAAGGAGAAAGGCGGGCCGTTCTTTGGCGTGTCCTTGTCGGTAACCACCAGCTGGAGGATGCTGCTGCCGAGTGACTCGCCCTCCTGCGGGAGATGAGGTTTATTAATTCATCTTTTTCTTTAAATTCAATTATTTTTGTAGTTATTTATTTTAAATATAACTAAAAATCCGCTGTAGTATCCAGATACACTTAACAATTATTGTTTGGCATATTTTAGCCATTAAGTCAACTGTATTACTGTCAATTTCTTTTTTGAGGAGGGCAATTTTTAACCCTTTACTGACAGTCGAGGGTTGACAGGAAACATGGTGCATTCAATGCTCCAACAACAGAGATCTGAAGGTGGTCTGCTGGACAAAAAAAACATAAAAACCCACTGAAATTCATTATTCTTACCACAACGTCTGTTCACTGTGATGGATTACCTACCCAAAGCCATCTTAAAAAGCTCTGGAAGTTGATTTTCATGGCCTACTGAATAGGAATGTAGGTTATCAATCTAAAAACTTACAGCGGGCTTTGGGAGATAGGCAGCAATAAAGTACACACAGTTTGGAGTTAATGGACTAAAACATGCAACACCTCCACTGGGGTTTTTCAACTTTCAATTAGAGCACGCAGCACAAAACACAGTCCTGTTTTGTCAAGAAAAGATCAGAGTGCGAGGAAAGCACTGGTGCAGCTTTTTGGCCAGTAATACTGAAAGCGTGTGTGTCAGGGTTAGGAGTTTGATTCCTTGTACAGGTCAGTGGTCTGAGCAAGGCATTGATGATGGAGGGGATTCACCTTCCCTGCACAGGTTTTTCCTGTGGACCTAGTGTGGGACTAAAATGGGTGCTAGGGGGTAAGTGTGATACAACAGGGAGTCGTTCTGTGGGGTGACTGCATGGAGAGAATAAATGTTAAATTAAGGATTGGACATGGTGTCTGAGCAGTGAGTTTTCACTTACCGCTTAACTTCTGTTCATGGAGAAATATGCTAAAGTTTAAGTTTAAATGTCTAGGGCACATACCGTCATCTGTGGAAAGCAATCTGCCTTTCTGTTTTAAAGCTTGGTATTTATCACTGTCCATAGTACACGAGAACAAACTTAATAAGATAGTATGTAGTAGTAGTATGTCTACTTAGATTACAGGTGAACAACAGCACAGGATGACACTGCTCTGTGACCGAGTACTGAGGAAAGGGCAGAGTCATGTATCACATCCTCTCTGTAGTGAATATGAGCCGTTACCATCAGAGCATCCTTCATATACTCCAGTATTGCTCTGTTAAACAAATACCTGTGATATGATATTATTTTCTAATTCATCCTCCTCAACAGAAACATGTGACAGACGCAGTGCAGCACAGAGAATACTTAAGTGGAGTTAAATTTGGGGGTGAAACACGTTCACATTGATTATTCATGTGTCACGGTGGATGCTGGAGTGAAGACAAACTTCAGTCAGTATTTCCAGAAGTAAAGGTATCAACACAGATGCAGCATGATTTATCACTCGATCCTTTCAGGACTTTCTCAAATAGAACGAATTACCTGTCCATCTGCTGCTTTTAGTGAAATACTGAAATTTGACTGCAGCCTAATGCGGAGCCCCTGCAACAGTTGTGCCAGTCATAAAGGAGGGCATCCAACAGTGACAAATAGTCAAAGAGAGGATGCTGCCACCGACATGCAGCACCTGCAAAAAAAAGTGACAGCTCCTTTCCCCGTTTGAATAGCATCCATCTGCTTAATGCAGCTTTCTTCATCAGGCCGAGCTGGCTGTGGCAGACATCAGCAGATGGGACGGTATCACAGAGTCTGGATTCATCACCACACAGAGCCAACGCCATGGCTTGTGAACAAACTTTCTCTGTGACTGGATGGGAGTTTCAGAGCTGGGGGAGCTGCAGCAGGTAGAGTGATGGTGACTTTAATTGTCAGTGAGCAACATCCGGTGTGGCTGGAACAGTGTGGTGATCGCCCTGCCAGCGGCATGAACACACATGTATGAAGACAAACGTATGTATGCACAGGCCTACGGGTACCTACATCACACTGAAGGACGCAGTGACACAAACTCTCTCTCACACACAGAAGCGGAGGTTAAATTGCCTGTTAAAAGTTTTTCCACACCAGCACACTTGTCCCTGTAATTAGAGGTTTTAGGTGAAAAGGTGCCACTGATGTCCTGCAAGCAACACACACACACAGAGCATCAAAACGTGACAGCTATCTGCCGCTTTGATCCCCACGAAGTTCAGAAAAACTGCTCTGCTTTTCCGCTCTGAAGAGTTTCACTCTTGAACTCTCAGCACACAGATTTAATGAGCTTTGGGCGCCGCAGACATGATCAGGCGGCACTTTCAGATCAGCATGATCTCACCAGAGTGTGTTGGAGAAGTTATAATGTTACAGAGAGACAGACAGATTGATAGAGAACATCTGATCTTTAGTGGTTTCTCTTTAATTATCTCATTCATCTGTCTTCATTATCACCTGACCCTCACTCTCATGATGTAGTCAGGAGCAGAGTGGGCAGATGTTAGCGGCCTTACTTGAGGATGATTTGGCACAACTGATGGCTGTTTTTGGCGAATACCGTATATTCTTTTTCATGTCACTAAAGGTGAACAAACTACACTGGCTTTATTCTCATATTCAGTCAAAGAGTCAAAGCGAGTCCCCTCTGCTTATATTTTTTAATTGAGTTGTCAAATTTCACACATGAATGCGACTGCTGCTTCCCCCCTCTGGACACTGAGGGTTATTTGCGGGAGCTTATGAACAGGCCACATTGGGTGAATTTGTTATTTTACATATCGCTTGTTGACTTTTTGTTGATGCAGTGGTTTGTGTGAGGTTGGCGTTTTCCTTCTACTGCAGGCAGTGGGGTGCCAACATTTTATTCAACTGCTCCAGGCTATGAATGGGGTTGGTGTCTGAACACAAAACAAAGCTGTTTTTCTCAACCAAAAACACACTGAAAAGAATCTGTCAGACTCGCCTACGGTGTCCCACAGGCGTCAAATCAATTAATACGACAGAATTAAAGGGCAAAAAATGTACTTCTAATCACCAGGGGGAACGCATTTGATGGATTTTTTTCCAGAAGTCAAATGGGATGAAACATTTTTTATAACTTGTAAATGAAGCATTCTGATGCACTCTTGAGATGAAAATGGACGGAGAAGAAACATATTCAGATTTTATAAATCAAAGTTTTTAAAAGCTGTAGCACCATGGCAACACATCCATCCTGTTGAGCAGACATAAGCAGACTCTCACACCCTGTTGAGAGTAATTCAACTCTCTGCATATTTTACAGTCTTTAGTCCTGAGCCAGGCTTTCACTTGCTTGTTTTTGCTGCTCATCCATGATGTACCTGCTTCCCTGTCACTTTCTATTTGACAACAGCTCAACAGATGCCATCTATGTGTTGGATTTTGCAGTGAAAAACAAAATGTGGGGGTGTTTTGACGCTCATGATATGCCACTGGGTACAATGTTTTGAGTCATGAATTACTTTCATCTGAAAGAAATAGAATCCCAAAGAATAAAGGTCAGACTGCAACATGTTCAAATGCTGAGCTTAAGGTAGTGCCGAGCTTAATGTTCAGTGGATTTGAACAAGGTAACTTTTAAGTTAACAGAAAACAAAAGGGCTCACCACAGTTTGTGTTACGGGCTGAGTAGCTGAACATGTGGTCAAACAGGCTCCTTATCAATAAGTAAAATCTTTGGATCTATACATTTCACGTGGGTGCCGTATTTTTCATTAGAAATTGCAAATGTTGAGGGTGCCCCAGTGGCTCACCTGGTAGAGTGCACACCATTTAGGCTCAGTCCTTACCGCAGCGGCCTGTGATTGACTCTGACTCAGGCCCTTTGCTGCATGTCATCCCCTCTCTCTCTTCCCTCACTTTCCTGTCTCCCTCTTACTGTCTCTATCGCAACAAAGCCAACAATGACCCAAAAAATAACTTGTTGTCAAAAGGCGACAAGGTTGCTGGTCCACCTTTCAGTATCTGAACGTAACGTGCAAGTGTGACCTGTACTCGTGTAGATAAACATGGTGGAGATGTTCAGGGTGACACACCTGCAGCAGCAGACTGTGGTTGACCTGGGAGAAGACCGGTGGGTTGTCGTTAACGTCAGTGATGGTGATGGTGATGAGGACTGCGGACGACAGAGGAGGATCTCCTTCATCGGCTGCCTGTACCGTCAGAGAGTAATGGGTGATCTGGAGAGGAGACAGAGGTGAATTCGTTTTTATTCTTTTTTTTGTAAATTTTTTTCCCCCAGTTTATTTTGTTTTGTTTTCTTTTACTTTCTGACTCGTTTCTCTGCATTTCTTTTTCTGTCTATGTCTGTTTAATCAATCATCCTTTATTTCTTGTGTTTGTGAAATGAAACAATATAAAATCAATCTTTATATCTGGCATTTTTCTTTGATAATTTCTGTTTATTTGACACACACAGAAACACACTGACCTCCTCTCTGTCCACTGAAGTCCGGACAGTGATTTCTCCGCTGCGAGGGTGAATAATGAACTGCTGCAGAGGGTCTCCGCTCACTATGGAGTAACGCAGCAGATTGTTGATCGGACCATCCTCATCAGTGGCTGTTACCTGGAGGAAAAGACAGGGGACAGGAGAATAATACTTTATTCCAGATATAGAAATTCTCTTTTGTTTTGCTTCCTTCTGAGGGATGTGAAAATGAAAAAGTGGTATTCTGTAGCTAATTATGACTATGACTATGAATATTTTCTTTCTAGCCACAACTTTAACCTAAACTAAAATAATAGCTTGTTTTAGCATTAGCTTTAACTGGATGATGATATTTGCTCAACTTAGACTTTAATTCAACAACTATGTAAGCTTATTTAAGCTTTGGTTTTAACTTGACAACAAAAATTAGCATGTATTAGCTTAATTTTCTCTGAAACAGACACAAGAACTTTATTAGTTTGTTTCAGCCTATGCTTTACCTTGACTACAATGATTGTTTACTGTAGCTTTACCTTGACCACCAGACTGTTATAATCTTGGTTTCAACAAGACAAAATTATTAGCTTGTTTTAGCTCATTCGTCTTGATGACACCACTGGCTTGTTTGAATCTTGTTTTTAACTTTACGATAATATTGGCTTTTCTTCTTTTCTTTAACTTTAAAACAAAAACGTGTTGTTCCCTTTGTTTTAGGTTGTTTTTGTCTTTTTTTCTGTTTGCCACAACACAAAGATCAACATTTATTTTCCTTTACTTGTCTTTTTTTCTTAAAACAAATGAAAAATCTATAAATAAGAGCGATTTTTCCACCTTGTCTTGTTTTAAAATGATGGTATTTATTTCGTGATAATTCTTCAAACAGAACTTGCACAATAATCTTCAATGGTAGACTGTTTCATTTGTTTAAAAGACTTTTGGCTTAAAAATAGAGAAAGATGACTAACTGAAATGGAGACCTCTTACAATAAGACTTTGGTCTGAGCTCATCCTGTCCTTGTTTTCCTCTTCATTCTTTAACTCCTAACAGTGAATCCTATAATTTTCTCCACTGACAGAGGACCCTCTCCAACAATCTTGGGAAAACAGTTCAACATTTCAAACAGTGACATGGTGCAGTTAAATGGTAAAAACTGAGAAAGAGAAACAGGGGATGAGGAGAAGAAAAATGTCAAATATGAAACCATGTGATTACAGACTCATCATCCAGCCGTGGTCTGACCATCAGCGAGCCACTGAGCTGTGTTATTGCTGTGTTATCTCTGCTGCTGGCCTGACATATGATGGCTGACATGTTGTCGGATAACTGTGTGTGTGTGTGTGTGTGTGTGTGTGTGTGTGTGTGTGTGTGTGTTTCACCAGTTTTTTTTTGCGCATGTACGTCATTGACAGGTTGACAGTTCATCTAATTCTGTTCTTATTGTTACGGTGTGTATGGAATTATCAATCTCTGTGATTATCTTGCATTGAATTGAATTCAGTGCCTTAGCCTAAACTTTGTTTTTTATTTTATTATCAGTTAGGTTAAGGTAAGGGGCTAGGGAATGCAATATGTTAATGAGTGTCCTCACAAAGATAGAAATATATGTGTGTGTGTGTGTGTGTGTGTGTGTGTGTGTGTGTGTGTGTGTGTGTGTGTGTGTGTGTGTGTGTGTGTAGGGCAGGGAGGGGGGGCAGGCACAGAAAATTATGTTCTGAAGTGACAGATAATGATGAAATATCCTTCATTTAAACTGAACTTTGGAAATATATTTAATCTAAAGTAAAATTCAATTCAGTGATTCAATTAAAGATTACTTACGTTTCTGTGTCTATGATGTATGAATGTGCCGCCATGTGCTCTGTGTGTGTACTTGAAGAATTCATGATAAAATGCATTAATTTATGTAATGTAACCTTCACTTCAACATTTTCCGTCCCTGCTTGCTGTGCAGTGCTCTGAGGACGTTTACTGTCACTCACCTGCTCAGTTGCTGGTGTTGAAGTAAAGTTTTCTCAATGATCTGCTTATTGTCAACATTTAGGTCCAACACCAATGTTAGCCTAAAACGTCTTGTATACATCCTGTGTAACGGTACATGTATTCTTCCCGAACTGTTCGTGTAGTTGTGTTAACTACATGTTTTATCAGCCTTGTACACGAAGGCCCCAGTTGTTTTTGCTACATATCAAGCATTAGCATTAACAGCTGTTTACTTACCAGTTTTGACAAGATCTTCAGCTATCGTCGTGTTTAAAGTACAAGAGGTTATAATACGTCCTCTGAGCAGCTACTTCTTCAGACTGGACGCTACAGTGACGAGATGGGCTGGCAGGGCTGGAGTTAGCTGGTTAGCATGCTAACTTCAGAAGAAGAAAAGAACTCATAGAAATAGAGGCAAAACAAGGGGGTTGCTTTCACCTCTGGAGACAGCTCTCAGCGAGTAGGAGGGTAAAAGTTTGACGCTGAACTCACAACGTTTTTTCTAGACTGGTAAGTAAACAGCTGTATGAAAATTGGCCAATGAGCTATGAACCTTTGCACTCAACTAACAAACCGTGACCCCAAAACTGAGGCACGTGTGGAACTGTGAATTCAGCATACCATTACATCCCAACGAGTACAGCATTTTTGTATGTACTGTATATCTACAAACACTGGCGTCCATTTCTGCATGTGTCTTTTTGTGTAACTACATATGTATGTGCATTCATCTCTACCTTCATCACCAGGCTTCCAGGCGTCAGATCCTCTGATATCTCAGTGCTGTAGTCGCCCCGTCCGAAAGCCGGCGTGTTATCATTCACATCCGTCACGTTGATGATAACTGTGGTGATGTCGCTGAGAGACGACTTCCCACGACTTCCCTCCACAGACAGGTAGTACTCCCGGGAAACTTCAAAATCCAGCGGTGCGATGAGGAGCAGAAGACCTGCAGTCCACACAGTGAACACTGAATTATTCTTACTGACAAGTGTAAGTAGATGCTGTTTTTATTTGACCTGTTTGTACAAAATCTAAATGAGAAACGGGAAATCGACTGCATGATCGAAATTAAATCAGAGGAAGCTGAACTCACAGGCCTGTTAGATACTTTAGGTTTTATTTTGCATTATTGACCAGGTGGCTTAACACAAGTGCACTGGTGTGCAGTGTTGTGATTTAATGTTACAGGATTTGTCACGGGTGATAAAATCCTTGAATTTTAAACACTCACCTCTGATACAAAACATACAGAGTTCACCGAGCTGCCTGCAGCAGTTTATGAGCAGAAACACAGCGGGATTCATAATACGCATGAGCACGGTCTTGGTTTCGTTCTGTGTGGTTCTACAACCTCTTCACCCTCATCAGATTCACCGGTGGGTTCATCATTACAAATACATGCTGCTTGGCTGAGCACTCGTCAGAGTCACACAACTTTGTTTCAAATTCAAGTGAAGATCCCAAGTTTTTCAGGCTGAACTGTGGGAAGATATGGATCAAATTAAACACCACACAGAATATGGTACAGCTATATAAAACATCCGAGGTTCAACTTCTTCTTTCAGTTTACATTCCCAGAGCTTTCATGACTTTTTAGAGCAAGAAGACGCAGGACTATGTAAGATATTGTAAATAGTAGGTATACAGTAACACTGAGGCTGTAATGCTATTTTTTTCACCAGATAAAAACACACTGGATGGATGAAAAAGGGAAAATAACAAAATTGGGAACTTTGCAATGTTAAATCTGTAGCTACCACCTGTGTGGCAAAGAATTTTAAGTTTGGCCGGTAGGAGGCGCTGAGACTGACATGTTCTGAAATTGTCACCGCTCTGCATCGGCTCAACTTCCATCAGTCTAGGCCGTAGTTTGTGCTCCAGTGTGTAGACATGCTTCAAATTAAGCATGTTAACACGTAATTCGGCATAGTGGCTGCGGATAATGCTTTCACATTTCTTGTTATTTTTCTAATCAAAAGTCCAAAACACAATTTAGCAAGATACAACACAGGGAAAAGTAAAATCCTCACATTTGAGACATTTTGTACCTGATAAATGACTAAAATGATTCATTAACTAATTATTATCAAAACGCCTGATGAATAATTTTCTGCAGATCTGCTAATTAATTGACTAATCCTTTCTCCAGCTCAGCACTGAGCTCAACATGCTGATGAGACAACTAAGGTGTTGGATCAGTGTAAACTGTTCGTGGTGCTGCATGAAAAGTCAAGAGACAGACACAAAGAATGACCGACTGACTCACAAAGGAAACGTCTGTACAGGACGAGATTTTAGCTGAAAGAATCCTGATTCAGATCAGTGAGTCTCACGGCTGCTGCTTTTCAGTTACACATCCGAACTGTCATCATCCCCCCTCTGTGTAAACTACTGTTGCGCTGCTCAGCTTGAATGCCCATCATTTTGGAGTGCAGGATGAATATTACGTAGTGACAGACGTAATACGCTGTTTAAAATGGATGTTCTTATGGTACAAGCAAGCCGCTGTGAATGATAATATCCACCATAACTCAAACACACAGTGTGTGTGTGTGTGTGTGTGTGGCATCACGTGACATATCGCGTGAACTCTCACTTTTGTCAGCTCAGTGAAGCTGTGAGTTTAACCTTTCAGGAACTATAAATCTCTCCACAGCTGGCTGCCGTCTCCATGTGTTATCTGTCATCCACATGTGAAGTCTAATCTCAGTTCATGGCAACGATAAAAGAGGCGTCAGAGCTCTTAAAGGGATATACTGTGTCATGTCCACTTTTTTTGTTTGTTATTGAGTCACTCCTCTCAGTCCAGATGGGCTGAAGTCCTCATTCACCTGACCTGTTGTAAAGCTGCTCAACTTTAACAGAGTCACCTCTTCACCTCCTGCTCTCATCCTCCTCTGGTCATTTCATCAACAACCGTGTTACTGAATATTTGGAGTGTGCGCTTTCTATTATTATAAATAACTTGACTCTGCACCGGAGGAGTGACAAATACATTATTATTAATACTATTATAAAAGAGTGGAAAAGCTACGGAAAGAATGGGTCAATTTGCTGGTTACTAGATCTGGAAAATATTAGTCGAACTAATCGATTAAAAACACTTCAGATTAAATAATTAACTTTGATACTTGATTGATCATTTAATCCAATCTTCAAGCAAAAATGCCGACCCTGAGTTACATCCCCAGGTATTTCATTTATTTTATTACAAATTTTAATTTTAATTTTATGGACCAAACAATTAACGGATAAACTGACTGATTGATCTGTGAAATGTAATTGGCAGATTAATTAATTAGAAATAAAAAAATAAAAAAATGATTATTTTCAGTGCCACTAGTAACATTCTTGTTTTCTTCTTCCAAAATGTAACATATTATTTCAAACCTTTATCTGACTAAAATAAGGTACATGTTTTATTTCAGCTGATTATTGGTGTAGAGGTTCACCTCGCTAAAAGAAACAAATCTGATGACCAAAGGCAGAAAGCTGATAGTAGATTTGTGTAAAGAAAGCTGTCTTCTCTTGAAAAGCTTCTTCTGAGGTGCTTCTTTTTTTAAAGGATAATTCTGGCAATATATATATATATATATTGCCATATATATATTTCATATAGTCAACTAATCCCCTATTGTCTGTGTGTCCAATGCCTGATATACTGTATCTTATTCCTCTGAGCTGTAGAGCTCCATTGTTTCCAAAAATGATTAAAAACACAACAGTGAGGCACACTGCTGCGCTGGGTGACATTTTCTTTCATTATCACGATCACACACTGTAGTTTATTTTGACTCAATACCACATGCACTGATCTGCTGCCCCAAATACTCACTAGAGCATCAAATTAATCCACCACTGAAGTATTCCCAAACAAATCCACTATTTCCTCCTGTTTGAGTAATGTTTGCTGAAACCAGTGAGCAGCTGTTTTTGGAAATGATTGATAGTTTTATAAAATGAAACCATATATTTGTGAATCATTTGTAAAGAGTTACATCAGTAGGAACCAATGGGCTTGGGGCTGAAAGCCACAGACAGAGTAGGAAAGTCAGAAAGTGTTGACGGACTAATGCATTGTTGGTTTTAGTCTTTTTTTGGGATTTGTTGACAATAATAACTGCAGCCTTATCCTTTAAGAAAGAAGAGTAAACAATGGTCATTCATCCTTTGTTGGATTAAAAACATCAAACATATCAGCTGAGAAGAAAACTACATTTATGACAATTTAACAGCAGAATTGCTGCTTCAGTTGTTTTCCCCTCTTCATACAATCTGTCTAACACCTTTCTGTACCCCTCTCAGTCCTCTCGCTCCTCTCTTCTTCCCGTAATAATAAAGCGTGACTCACTGGTAAACTCCAATCTAAATCACATATTGCTCAACTGCCGACAAACCAAATCTAAACATGTAATTTGTGCCGTGGTGAAACTGTCATTGCCAGCTTTTATAGATACGATTGCTTGGAGGCAGGAGGTCGACTAATAACGTTTCAATCTTCAGAGTATTATGCTGAACAAATTCTGAAAAGACTGGATGACTCTGTCAGCGAGCTTACTGTACCACACAAAGCCTGAGTATCCGTCGGCTGCAGCTCGTCGTATCCAGCAGAATGTGTGGATGAAACACCCACAGCCTGTTTTCCTGGGCTGCCAGCCAGTCTCTTGAACCACACTTCATTAAGACAAAACAAAATGGGATCCAACAAAAACAACCATCTACCATTCCCCACAAACTAAACACCTCCAGGTTTCAACAAGTAAATTATTGGCACCACGTACACACAGCACAGATCTGACTTTATTGATTTTTCTGAGATCAAGGAGATTTGCACAGCCAGCCTGAGTCAGAATGATCCAAGCTGCTATTTATTCATTTGTTTATTTTTCTACCTTCTGCTGAGAGACAGCCGAATGAGCTCCAGTTTCTCATATCAATGCTCCGCATCTCATTCATACTCTTCTGTTATTTCTTACTTGGCTACTACATTCAAAATCTTTTTTTTTTTTTTTAGCAGTTCTCCTGCTTATTTCTTACATATTTAGACACCAGCTAATGTTTGAGTGGCTTGATTAAGAGCACACACTTCTAGCAGACAGGATGAATAAACAGTTTCTACATTCACATCACGTTTGAGTCACATCTGACTCATAGTTATGAGACTCTGACCCAGAGTAACATGAATTAAAGGTGTGTATCCGCGACATGTTTAACCCCTAAATCTTAACCCCAACCTTAAGAAGACTGATAAAACGAACATGAATGTATTCTACTAACAAGTACTGTGTGTATCAAAAGCCTGATGTATCTTATTCCTTTGAGCTGTAGAGCTCCACTGTTTCCTAAAATGATTAAAAACACTTCAGTGAGACACACTGCTACATGTTCCTTCATTACCATGAACACACACACTGTGGTTTGATTGTGATCACACACTGATCCGTTGTCCCAAATGCTCACGAGAGAACCATGTGTGGATTAATCCGTCGCTGTAAATAGTCCCCAATCGAATGCGCTACATCCTCCTGTTTGAGGAACATTTGCTAAAAACTATGGTGACCTGCTGTTTTATTATTGAGCCTTTTTCCAAATGTAAAATATATAGAAATCTCAATCTGTATATTTGTGACTAATTTTTAAAGATTATTACAATACACTTTTTAGATCCTGGTCATTTTTAACTATGTATTTTAAAAAGATGAAGAATTTTGGTGATCGGACATCTGGATCTTTAAGTCATCAGAGAAAGACGCAGAGCAAGTGTTAGAGGAAGGAATCCTAACCGGGAGAAGCTGACGGCAATTTTTTTATTTTATTTATCTATTTATTTGTTGATCTATCAAAATTTTGTTGAGCTTTTGTGTTTTATTGGGGTGAGTCTCTCTGGCTGTGTGTGGTCGGCTGGAGAAGGCGGAGGAGGTTGGTAGTCATGTTGTTTCTTTTATT